ACTGCCGAGGCCATGACATCAGATATCTCTAAAAAACTTTTTTTTTTTTTTTTTATCTCAACAGTTATCCATATAAATTAAATTTAATAAGATTCATCGTTGTACGCGTAATGGACCTTTGAGTTTCACTTCTTGATCTGAATTACTAAAATAAATGAACATTTCAAAGATATTCTAGGTCATTTAGATGCGGCTGTAAAGTATAAATATCTTTTTAAGAAGTGGCTTACAAACTGCCTTCAGCACTGCTGATTCACCTTTATGTAATCTTGATGCTGTTAATATAATCTTTATTAGTCATTTCTTTTTCACATCAAAATTTCGGGCCGACCTTTCACAGTCATTTACTGTTACTAATTTGTTCCGATTAAGAAATTATGATATTTACAAGGTTTTGATTTCTGTTTTTTTTTTTTTTTTTTTTTCCCTGTTTTTCTACAGAAACTTCGGAATTTCCACAGCCTCAGCTGCCCTGGGATCACAAGCGACGACCCGTTAAAGTCCGGCCCGGCGGCCCGCTCTCTCAGGCCCAACGCCGACGACCTGTCCGACAACGAGGACGCCTCGGAGCTCAACGGCAACGAGTCGTCCGACGCCGACCCCAGGGGCCGCGGCGACAACACGGTGGCGGGAAGAACCGGAGGGAAGGACGGCGAGACCCTGTGGGTGGGGCTGTGCAGCATGACGAGGGACATGTACCAGCTGGGAGGAGAGCTCGACATCGAGCAGATTGAGAGGAACTGAGCCGAGTTGCTTTTTCCTCCTCCGGCGGGGAAGCTAATCACGGGACTGGAAGTTTATCACCAGGTGGTACAATAAACAGTGCTGATAGTCTTAAGGACAAAGCAAGAGGGGAGCTCATGCAGAGAGCATTCCAGGGCTTCTCTTTTTTTTTTTTTTTTTTTTTTTTCTTAAGGAGAAACTGAACAGGAGTTTTGTGCTTTAAATGTCCATGTTTGGGGACTTTGTGTTGTTAGAGGCGACTCCCCACCCCATCCCCACTGTGCGGTGTCTCAGGATAAAACGGAAGTCAGGGAAGAAGGATCTGAGTTGAAATAAGAAAAAAAATAAATAAAATAGATACTCTGACATCACTCTAACCCTGAATAGCCTACTTGTGCTTTGTTTGGAGAGAATTCACAGCAGGTTTGTATAAATTCTCTGCACTAGAAAGAGTGTCTTTACTTTTCCTCTGACGTTCCTCACTAGCACATAGGTACATGATGGAGACGAATGAACACCACTTATCGAGCTACTGTTGAATCTCTGTTCACTCTTTACTGAGCAGCAAGCAGCACAAAACACCTATAAAGTATCCGGATGCTTCACGTTTTACTGAGTAACTTCAGGCTTAACTCTGAGATCTGAGCTCCTGAATGTCTGGAAGACGCTTTGAGATGCTAACTGTGTTAATGTTCTTTCTTTCTTATGATTTGTAACTACAAAGTTATGTAAAACACGAACATAATTTCTATAAAAAAATAAATAAATAAAAAATAAACACAGGTTTAAAAGTGTAAATTGTAGTCACTTTACTTGACTTGATGTTTACAATCTCTGTTTTGTACGCTTTGCTGGTTTGTGTCTTGTGTTTTTTTTTTGCTCAGGTGCTGTGCCAAAAATATTTACATCGCTTGAAGTTTTTCACGTTTTCTCACGATACAACCGCTTTATTTGGGTTTGGTTTGACGAATACCGCAGAGAAATGCAAAGTCGTGCAGATTTCACATATGAAAAGCTAGAAATATTGAACTGTATTCAGACCACAAGTCTTTGCACGGTTTGCACATGTGACATTTTTACTCATTTTTGCAAACTTTCTCAAAGTAAGCTGGATCATTAGTCTTCACCTGATTTGATATGGACTCATTGGATATAAGTCTGGACTTTGACTGGGACATTTTTACTCATGAATTCAATTCGTTTTAGTTCTGGCTGTAGATTTAGGGTTGGTGTCCTACTTTAGAGTTCAAGTCCAACTTCCTATCAACTCTGGCCAGCTTCGCTGTTCCTGCTGAAGAAATGCATCTCCACAGCACGATGCTGCCATCACCATACGTTTACAAAGGGGATTGTGTGTTCAAGGTTATGTGCACTGTCATGTTTCCTTCACATATTTGTGTTTTGCACGTAAGCTTTAAAAATTAAAAATACATATATATTAATAACAAAAAAAACAAGTACGAGCAATTGCATAAAATGGGGGTCGAACACAAATAGATGCCACGCTTCCTGGCTTTAATTTGTAAAGAATTGTTTCCATCAAACTTTACAATCATGGAGTACTTTGTGTTGATATAAACTCCAAATATGGTCGCTTATAAATTTGCGGCTGTGATGTGACAATATGGAAAAAGTTCAAGGGTTATAAATATTTCTGCGCGGCACTGTATGCCATGTTCCCTTAGCCGGCCTACTTTTTTTTTTTACGAGATGGCATGAGGTCTGACATTTTATGTGTTGGAGCAGTTTCACAATGAAAGCGGTTACACGTGAAATAGATCCAACAGTTTACTCGAGGACTTTGGTTTCACGCTGCTTTTTAGGCAGGCAAATAATTGTTTTAGATGTGGATGCACTGCGAGTTTATAGATTAGATTATTCTGCATAGATTTTCTTTTACAGCCTTTCTCCAATAAATTGTGCACATTCGAGTTTTAAAACACGGCTATTAGTAGGGCACGTCTATTTAGCAGCAAATGCCCTTGTTGGTTTACTCGTCAGTGCTGCAGTAACACAGACTGACCCAATTAAGTTGCATGAAAACAATTGCAGCAGTAAGCGTGGTGCGGCTGATGGGCCTGTGTTTGTGTGCTGAAGCGGGGAGGACGCTGAGGCAGGGGAGGGAAGTCCGCTTTTTTTTTTTTTTCCCCCAAAATATATATATATATATATATATATATTTTTTGATGGCGGGTGGGGAGGTGAAGCTGAGCGACGGTTCACCCCAAAGACCTCGCTCCCTCCCCGCTCTGGGAAACAAAAGGGGCTTTTTCTCTAAGGAGCGCGGTGACGTGGGAGGCGGCAGTGAATGTGGGCCATGTGTCAGGGCTGTTGCTGCTCCGTTTGTCTGCTTCCCCTCCCCGGCTCTGGTGCCTGTGTAGACCTCAAGAGTTTGTATTGTTCACTTTTTTTTTTTTTTTTGGCTCTGTTGTGATTGCACACCCTTTTGTAGCGTGCTCACACTGAGAGTGATGCTGCTCCACATTCTTTGAAAGTGTAAGGTACCTTCTGAAGGAATGAAGTCACATCATTAAAAGGTCCGGCTGAGTAATTCGAAGATTGCTTGACATGCTATTCTCCTGGCTCAAATAGCACACAAAGCCCCATCTGTGGGGAATTTAAGTGGCCTCCAATGCCACTGCGTGCTCCTGCAATGGATGATTATGTTGTCCTACGAGAATCTGTATGCTTGCACAGTAAGGTCACATTCACTCTTGTCAGCCGCCTGTGGTACGTGCAAGCCACTTACCGGCCCTGGAAATGGGTAAACATGGCCCTTGTTAAACGTGCTGAGCGGCAGACTGACACACTGAGGGCCCCTGGGCTTTAATCAGCGAAGTGACAGGAGTGAAAGGAGGCTGTGTTCTGGGAGAAGATAGGCATACAACAGGAGGAGTGGGCTATGTCAAGGTCCAGCGCTGCACGCTCTCACAACCCCCCCGGCCCCCTCCACACACACAAGCACTAACTCAGCAGAGTTTTGGTCACTTTTGAACTGTCATAAGGGCTTATACCCAGTCCTTTCTGCTCCAATCACTATGTTTGCTTTGTTTTTGTTTTTTTTGTTACACCTAACTGTTCAAAATCATCAAACAAATTTAATGTCAGATAAAGATAACCAGGGTAGACGCAAAATCCAGTTTTCAAATGATGAAAAAGCTGTCTAAACCAACCCGGCTCTGTGTGGAAAACAAAGTACCCTCAGAGTGGAGAACTATCAGAAGTTTTTTTTTGTTTTGTTTTGTTTTTTTGTGAGAATCAACAGCTTTATTCTATCACAGATTCTCAATCAGATTTAAGTTCAGGCTTTGACTCTGCCCACTACAAAACTGTAAGCCATTCACAGGTGAGTTTGTTTGTTTGCTCTGAATAATTTTTCTGCTGGATAATCAAAGAGAGCTTGCATTTCATGAACTGAATCTTTCCAGATTTTCTGGTACAGTCGTCCATATCCAGGAGAAGCAAAGCATCAGACCATCGCACTAACACAACCACGCTCGACTGTCGGTTTGTAATAAAACAAACACTGTTTGTTTTAATTCTGGTTTACAAGGGCAACCTTTCAAAAATGCTCCTTTTCTTTCTTGACCAGTGGTGTTCCATACAGTGTTGTTTAAGCAGTTTCTTCATTGCATTCGGAAATGTAACTGTTAAACTGTAAAGTGAGTGCTAGAACCTGTCAGTAATCAGACCTGGTTAGTTGAACTGAATCCAAAAAAAATGTTTATAATGTGTAGTAGCAGTTAACTTGGAAAAACAAGGATGTGCAGGTTGTTCTCTGGGTTATCTGTGTCTGATATTAAAATTAATTTGATGGTGTCAAACATTTACAGTAAATGTGACAAAAAAAAAAAAAAAGAAAAACAAAAAAAAATGCCAGGAGGACTACATCTTTTCACAAACACACTCCTTTAATTACTACTTTTAAGTTCAGGGATTCATTTAACTTTATAAAACTAAACGGTTTCCTGGAACTTCATTTGGGTCTTCATCTCATCAGACCTTTGACCCTTTTTCGTGCAGCTGGGGAGTTGAAGTCGTGCCAGAAACTTTTCTTTTTCTTCCTACGTTCTCCTGTGGGACGGGCACCAACTTTTATACGTTTCGTTTACTGGGTTGATTCAAGGCTAAGCTGTCGCAAAAAGGACAATTGAAGGCTATAAAAGCTCTCCCGCTGTCAAGAAAGATCCCATTTCCAGGATGGTTGCAGGAGCCGTTATAGGAGCACCCAACAGGCCTCCTTTCACTCTGACAACAAAGCAACTGGAAATCCTCCGAAAAAAGGAGCCCAGAGAGAGAGAGAGAGAGAGACCTGGCTACAAAGCCGAGGTCAGCTGTAAGCTTTCAGATGTTTTGAATACCAAGACAATCGGTTTACATTGCATGGTGACATACGACCGCCGTTACACCCGGATTATGCATACGTACAAGGTCGAGAACGGCATCATGGGGACGTGCTTTGTGTCTAGAGCGCGAGGCCTCAGAGAGGCTTCAGTGGGCAGATGAGAAGGGGTCGTGTCCCTGGGGGGGGGGGATTGTGACGACTGTGGGCCACATTAGCGGAATACAGACTCCTCTGTGTTTGAACTGGGATGCTTCTCAGATTGCTTGTAAAGGCTGTCATGGGGAAACTGGGATTGGACTGGGAGAGAGAACGAAAAGGAAGGGGGAAATCAGGCTTTGGCTCAAACCGTAACTATTCAGACTTTTAAAAAACCTTACCACACCTCTTGGAACTGTTGGCACAGTTGCCCAGGAGGAGGAATGGAGAGTGATGAAATGTGGAGGAAAGCGTGAAGCCTGGCAAGCAAAAGGCAAATATTCCACACTCGGGAGGGAGGGGAAGGTGGAGGAGGTGTGACAAACAACGGGCCTCTATAAAAAAAAAAAAAAAAAAAAAAAGTTCAGGTTTTCCACGGATAACGGAGCGCTCAGTGCTGCAGGTGCTCTGCTCCGTCTGGTCACCTGACCCCACCATTTCCTGTTAAACAGGAAGAGGCAAATGAGAGGAGATGAAAGTTCAAGGTAGTACACAGCTGGAAGTTGTTTTAGGTGGGTGAGTGCAGGTGTGGCACAAGTGTGGCACAAGTGTGGCAGTGTGCTGCAGTTAAAGAGGAGGCCAACCCAAACAGATGACATACAGCCGAGTACGAACTTTGGCTCAGGCTGAGCATGCATGATGTGTGCTAAGTAGGACCCC